TGTTCATCCAGCTCTACACCTTGTTATCTCTTACTATCCATTTTCACAGTTCTACCTAACTTTAGCTTTTACTATCATTTCTCTTTCTTTATTCGTTCTTTACTGTTTTTTTATCCAATCTTCTGACAGTCTCAAACTGGATATGAAATTCAGTCATGTTATGCTCACTGCCTGTACTATGAGGTCATTAATTAATTCTGTCTCATTGCACATTACCAGAGCTGGAAGAGTCTGCTTTCTGGTTGGCTGTAAAATATACTGCTGTAAAACACTGTCTGGAAAACGCTATTAACTTATTTTCAAGACTACATTTGTCAATCTGATTCATCCATTGCTTAGGTAGACTGGAATCACCCAGGATTATCACTGTACCTTACATACTATCCCCCATTATTTCTTCCTGTTTGCTCCATTCTACGGTACATTTAGTGTTCGAGAGTCAACACAATAATTCCACAAGTGACTTAGCTTTACTCTTTCTTACCTCTACCCAAACCGATTTTACATCTTGATCTGTTTCAAAAAAAAAGCATCTCTCTCTATTGCAGTAATATCAACATAATTGAGAGAGCTATCTCTCTGCATTTTCCTAGCTTTCTGCCCTTCTGAAATGTCATACACCCTTGAGTATTAAGGATGCCAGCTTTTTTTATCTTGTAGCCATGTTACTGTAACAGCTATCAGATCATACATATTACCTATTTGAGCCACCAATTAATCCATTTTAATACAAATGCACATCGTTATTTTATTGTTACGCACATTAGACACAGAGACTTCGGTTCTGTCTTTTTGCTAATTTTTGCTAATTGACATGCTCTGATTCATTTCCCTTATTGCTACCTTGCACACTTGCCTTTTCCTCTCTTTTTTCAATTTATTACATTTTCCCTCACTTGATTCCTTTCTCCCACTATTTATGTTAACACCTTCTCTACTGCCCTAGTTATATGAGTTGCCACTACACTGGTTTCAGCATGATTCAGGAGAAGACCATCCTAACGGTGCAGCTCTTGCTTTCCCCAGTGCTGGTGCCAGTGCCCCATGAGTCCAAATTCATTTTTCCCACATGCATTTACTGCCAAATCTTATTTATCTTATGTTCAATTTGCCCATGTCTCCACTAATAACCCAGAAATTAACTTTTGTGGTTTTGGTTTTTAGTTTAGACCCCAGCTGCACACAGTCCCAATAGAACCTCCTTTCACAGTTCTATCAACGTCATTGGTACCTATGTGGACCATAACAACCGGATCCTTCCCTTCATACTGCAAGTTCCTTTCCAACCCCAGAGCAAAAGGCAGCAGGCATAGAACACACCTCCTGGACTCTTGCTGTCAGCTGTGAGAATGGTATCTATTCCTCTAACTACATTGCCTCCTGCTACCAATATATTCTTAAGTCCCCACGCTCCAAATGGCATCCAATGCCATGGAATCTTGCTCATTCATCCTGCAGCCCCCAATTTCATCCATACTGACTGCAGGAACCTCAGACAATGGGTAAATGCTATAATTGAGGCTCATTCACTTCTACCTTCTTGATCCCTGTATTTGCATTCACTTGTGTCCCTGATCATGAAGCAAATCAAAATAAAAACAAACCTAAAGGAAGTGACCACCAGGGAACTAAATATCCAAGTACCCTTCCCCTCTCTGTGTAACAGTGAGACGTTCAGCTTCCAGCTTAGTGACTTGGACCGAAGGTCCTCAAGCCGCAGTCACTTACTACAAACGTGTTTGCCTTGGATCTCGCTTATGTCCGTAAATACCTACATCCTGCAGCTGCTATGTATCACCATCAGTACTACAGTTAATTCATAACATGTAATCAGGAAAATAAGTAAATTCATGTTGCTAGTCTTGCCAGAAATTATATTCTTATTGTTTCAGAAATGTTCTTACTCAACTAAAAGCCTTCTGTTAAGATAAATAGGAAATGCTCACCAGGCCTTCACTCACCTGCTTCCTGTGATGCCACACCTCAATTTTCCTTGTCTGACTGGTTTCTGGTGGTGGCTACCCAGCTCAGGTCTTGCTGTTTACTGCATGAATAATTGCTGTCTCTCACCACTTTTTAACTTTCTATTTTTGCTGATAATCTTACATTAGTATAAAATGGGTTAGGCTGTCCAGCAGGAAAACTAATTGTCCATAAATGTGCAAAATCAAATGCACATTATCAGTGAAGTTTAATTATGACTGTCAGTTTGTTTTAATAATTCTACACATGAAGTTATTTGAATCTGTTTCCTTGTTCTGGTATTATGCCACTCGAGATTTTCAGAACAAAATATCTTCTTTCCTTTGGTTTGGTTGCAGAAACCAAAGAATTACCTGTGTCCAAGGCAGTGAAGATTAAACTAAGCCAGATTGATAAAACAGAAGATTGCAAAACTACAACAGTGTGTCTCAGTAATGAACATGGCTCGACTCTCCGAGATTTGCTTACCTCAACAGCTGGAAAATTGCAGTTAGGCTCTACTGATGCTGGCATTGCCTTTGCCCCAGTCTTTTCTGCAGGAACCCCTGTAAGTATTGAACTTTATAATACAGTGGTTCATGAGTTTGCTTTTCTACAGTACATTTGCTTCCTTTGCCAAGCCATTAATATATGTGGAAACAGTCACAATCCCAGCACTGATCCCTTTGGAGCCCACTGGTTACAACTTGCCAACGTGAAAAAGAACCTCTCAGCACACTTTCTGTTTCCTTCCCATGAGCAAGTTTTCTATCCATGTCAATATGCTATCTCCAGCTCTGTGGCCTCTTATAACTTAACTGTTTGTGAGGTATCTTGTCAAACAAATTCTGAAAGTCCATATACACACATCTAGTTTCCCTGTATCCACTTTGGTTGATACTTCCTCGAAAAACTCGAATAAATTAGTCAGACTACGATTTCACTTTGATAAAGCCAAGCTGAGCCTGCTTGATAGATTATGAATTTTAAGTGTTCTGCTATAACTTACTTCATAATTGATTCCAGTACTTTTCCAACAATAGGTGTTAGGATAATAAGAAGAGCAGGAAAGTTGACGTTTCGGGTCAGGACACTTCTTGAGAAATGGGGAGGTGGAAGGGAGCTCAGAAATAGAGAGAGAGAGGAGGAGTGGGGCTGGGGAAGGTAGGTGGGATGGTGATAGGTGAGTGCTGGTAGGGAGTGGTGGGGATTGGTCAGTGAGGTGGGTGAGGCGGATAGGTGGGAGAGAAGATGGACAGGTTGTGTCAGGTCAAGGAGGCGGGGATGAGAGGGAGAGTTGGTCATGGGATGAGGCTGGGGGTGGGGAGATTTTAAAACTGGTGAATTCCATGTTTAGGCCATCGGGCTGTAGGCTCCCAAGGCAGAATATGAGGTGTTGCTCTTCCAGTTTGTGGATGGTGTCATTGTGACACCGGAGGAGGCCCAGGATGGACATGTCACCAGGGAGGGGAGGCGGACCAGAAGGTGTTGTCATTTGTCACATACAGACCGCAGATGCTCTACGAAACCATCGCCGAGTCTACGCTTGGTTTCACTGATGTGGGGGAGGTTAATGGTGTTACAATGTCAGCTTCAAGGCCACTTTCTTTTTATTTATCCGTTCATGCATCTTCTCCCAAGATGGGGCATTCCACTCCACATCCAGATGTCGTCTTATTTCAAGGACTGTAACTCCCCGCCCCGCTCCGGTAATCGAAAATGCCCTTAACCACATCTCTCGTGTTTCCTGCACTTCTGTCCTCACATCCACCCCCCACCCAACAAAAATAAAGGCAGAATTCCCCCTTGTCCTCACATATCATGCCACCAACCATCCATCGTATCATTCTCTGCCACTTCCGCCACCTACAATCCGATCCCACAACCAAAGAGATAATTCCCTCCCCACCCCTATCTGCCTTTTGTAGGGACCGCGCTGTCTACGACTCCCTCGTCTGCTCCACACTCCCCAGTAACTCCACCACCCCTGGCACCTTTCCCTGCAACCGTAGGAAGTGCTACACCTGCCCCTACAACCATACCCCGCGCCTCCTCCTCCTCCTACCCCCCCCCACCACCACCACACGCACACGCGCGCACACATACACACACACACACACACACACACCCTCTATTCAAGGCACAAAATAAACCTTCCTCATTAGACAGGAATTCACCTGCACATCCACCAACTTGGTCTATTGCATCCGCTGCTCCCGATGTGGCCTCCTGTACATTGGTGAAACCAAGTGGAGACTCGGAGACTGTTTTGTAGAGCATCTATGCTCTGTCCGTGACAAACGACAACACCTTCCAGTCACGAATCATTTTAATTCCCACTCCCTCAGTGACATGAACATCCTGGGCCTCCTCCAGTGTCACAATGACACCACCTGCAAACTGGAGGAGCAGCACTTCATATTCTGCCTTGAGACGCTATAGCCCAATGGCCTAAACATAGATTTCACCTGTTTTAAAATCTCCCCACCCCCGGTCTCATCCCATGTCAAACCCTCCCTCTCATCCCTGCTTCCTTGACCTGACACAATCTGTCCATCTTCTCTCCCACCTATCCTCCCCTCCTACTTCACTGACCAATCCCCACCACTCCCTACGTGCACTCATCTAACACCATCCCACCTACCTTCCCCAGCCCCACCCCTCCTCTATTTATTTCTGAGCTCCCTTCCCCCTTCCCATTTCTGAAGATGGGTCCTGACCAAAACGTCAACTTTCCTGCTCCTCTGCTGCCTGGCCTGCTGTGTTATCTCTGACTCCAGCACTGGCAGTTCTTGTTATCTCTTAGGCTAATAGTTACTTACCTACAAGATAGGCTAATAGTTGCAGTCTGTAGTTACCTGCTTTTTGCCTCCCTCCTTTTTTGAATAGGGATGGAACATGGCAGTTTTCCAATTCTTCGTTACTTCTCCAGAATCCAAGGATTTTTGGAAAACCACAACCACTTTCTATGAGGCAACCTCTTTTGAGATCCTAGAATGGAAGCCATCAAGGCCTGGAGAATTAACGTCTTTAGCCTCATTGATTTGTCAAATACTGCTTCTCTAGTGTGGACTTAATTCCTCCCCCATATTCTTCGGTATTAATGGGATGTTTGCAGTGTCTTCCACCATAAAGACTGGTGCAAAATATTTGTCTAACTTCTCCACCATGTTCCCTATAACTATCTCCCCAGTTCATGCATTTGCTATGTGGCCTATGTTCACTTTGACCTTTCTTCCTTTTTATATATTTAAAGGTCTTATTGGCAATTTTTGTATTCCTCATTAGTTTGCCCTCATAGTTTATTTTCACCTTCTTTATTATCTTTTAGTCCTACTTTGCTGGAATCTGAATTTATCCAAGGCTTCAGGGCCTGTACTGACTTTTGCCTACTTACATGTTTCTTTTTCAACTTAATACTCTCCTTAAGACTTGATGAGAGTCACAGATGACCTCCTTGAATGTCTGCCACTGCTTGCTTACTGTCATTCCTGCTAATCTATCCGACCAGTTCAATTTAACTAACTCTGCCATCATTTCATTTAATTCCCCATATTTAAGTTAAACACGGATGTTTCCGACCCAAGTTTCTCTTTCTCTCAAATGAATATTAAATTCTCTTATGCTGTGATAACTATTTCCTGGGGGATCTTTTACTCTGAGGTCATTTATTAAACCTGCTTCATTACCTATTACTAGATTCGAGATAACCTGCTCCCTTGTTGGCTCTAAGACATGTTGATCTAGGAAATGATCTCTAATGCATTCTATTAATTCGTGGTCGTAGTTCTCCTTTCCAGTTTGATTAACTGAATCAACAAGTAAATTAAAGTCACCTATGATTATTGCTGTATCTGTTTTATATGCTCCTATTATTTGTTAGCTTTATAGCTTTTCCAACAGAGTGCTATGTTTGGGGGTCTGAACACTGCTTGTACCAATGTCTTCTTTCCATTGCTGTATTTTTCCTCTGTCCAAATGGACATACGTCATCCGAGCCTAGATCATCTCTTACAACTGCCTTCATTTCATGTCTTCAGTGCCACCACTTTTCTGAAAGGACAAATATCCCTCCATATTAAATTCCCAGTTTTTATCTCCTTGTAACCATGTTTCCATTATGGCTATGAGATCATATTTATTTATTTCAATTAGCACAGTAAGTTCGCCTGCCTTATTTGAAATGCTTCATACCGTTAAGTTTGTTCTATTGTCAAATTTTCTACAGTTTTTTGGTTCCTTGGTGCATTATGACATTCACACGTTCTGTCATTCCTTTCATTTTCTGGTTTTCTGTGCAACTGAACTCACCCCTTCACTATTTAGCTTAAAGCCCTACCTATAGACTTAATTTCACCAACATGATTCAGGTGGAGCCCATCCCGCTGGAACACCTCCCTCTTTCCTAAGTACTGGTGCGAATGTCCCATGAATTCAAACCCATTTTTCCTACCTATCTTTTGAGCCATTAATTTACCATTTTTAATGTTGTTGATCCTGCGGCTCAGGTAGTAATCCAGAAATGACTGATCTTTTTGGTTCTGCTTTTCAATTTCGCCCCTAACTGCTCATGTTCCCTCAGTAGAACCTCTTCCTTCATTCTACCTGTATCATTGGTACCTATGTGGACCATAACAACTGGATTTTCCTCCCCCCCCTCCAAGTTTCTCTGCAGCCCAGGCAGGCAACACCGCCTTCAGGACTCTAGATTCTGGCCACAAAAAACAGTGCCTACTCACCTGACCATACGATCCCTGAATACAACTACGTTTCTCTTTCCTCCCCTCCCCTGTCCTGAATGGCTCTGTGTGCCATACTGCTATAGCCAGTTTGCTCAACTTCCTTACAGCCCCTAGTCTGATGCACACAGCAAGAAGAGAGCAAGAATCTCAAAACTGTTAGACAAAGCTGAAGCACTGAGGCTCCTGCAGTACTGTCTCCTAGATTTCTTTATCTGCCTTGCTCATAGTCATGCCCTGCTCTTATAGAATGTTGGAATAAGCTCAAGGGTCTTAATAGCCTCCTAATCCTTGTTCATACGTAGAGGTATACGTGCGTCTCATCTTTGAACATTACAAAGATAAAAGGTAATACAGGATCAATTACACCAATGGGTGTAGTCTGCAGACCACCTGAAAATTAGAACAAAAATGGAGGAAGAATAGGTAGAGAAATTATGACATGAATATAAAGAATAGAATGATAATCATGGAAATTTCAACTACCCTGTTATTAGTTGTACTTAATAGGTAGCTAAAGGAGATAATGGAATGTAGATCATACAAGATGTACAGATTCTCCTTTACAACTCAATATGTTAAAAGCTGAACAAGTGAAGATTCGTTATTGGATCTTGTAATACTCAATAAACCAGAGGAGATAAGAGAAGTAAGAGAACATACAGGCAATAATATTCTTTAAAATGATATTAAAGAAAGGTGTAAACATGACAAAAGCCAAACTAAGAGTTGAACAAAAGCTGAGTTAATGGATTCGTCAAGTAGATTGTGAGGAAGACGCAGAATAGAATTTTGTGAATTGAAATGGGCAACATTGTTGGCAAATAAC